ATACTTTTTCACGTTTGCTTTTCAGAGCACTTGCTTCTACAGTTACTGCACAATGCAGGTGTGCAAGTCCCCTCCCTCATTTGCTTCTTAGTCTTTAAATTTATGCAGAATTCCCCTCCATTTACTTCCTACCCATTAAATTAGCATATATTGCTATGGGTTGTTGTTTTTACAATTGTCATGGGCCTGCAGTAATTTACATTTAATTAAGACATATTATACCTGTATGATTAAACTGCTAAATCAAATGATAATTTTCTTTAATTGAACTCAGTCTTTTTGAATATCCCAAACCTTTTTGTAGGCCTAGGGCATTTTCTATGGCTTAGACACTGTGCCTATTGTGACAAATGGATAATCCAGTTCTGGTCACCACTGAAAGCATTCAGGAATAGAATGGCAGATCAGTGCCCTCTTGGACAACCTGATAACCCCTTGGACAGGAAAGATGCTGCATCCAATAACAGGAGTGGGAGCTCAGCTTTCTTGGTCAAGCAACGAAGACAATAGCATCATCCAAGAAGACAGCATCATCTGTTTTAGAAGAAAAGTGCAGGCCACTCACAAGGTTATGGCCACATACAGCACACACCCTGGGGTCCTTACCAACAGCACTCTACCCGAGCTTTCATACAGATAAAAGCAAAGTTTCCCTATTTGGTGCCTAGTTGGGAGTGGAAAGATTGGCACTCCACCAGAACATCCACCATTCACTGGTAGCCCCATGACTGTTCCAACCATCCTTGGGCATTAATGATGCCTTCTTAAATCCATGTAGGCATGCAAAGGCCAGATATCAGCCCATCTACCCAGGAAGAGAGGCATCCTGGTTAAAAGCAGCTTAAGCACCCCAGTGATTCCACATCTGCTAGACTGCCCTGGCTAGCAGAAGCAATAGAGACAGGCTTTCTAACTGAAGTTAGCATCTCATGACTGTAAGACCTTTCAGTACAGGGAAGGGTAAACGTGAGTCAGTGCAGGAGAACGAACAGCAGTTGGCATAGAGCGTCCTATTGATAATCCTATATCTTTCTGGATTATCAGTCAGATCATGCTAGATGTAGAGCCTGCGGAGATGCTGGTGGAAGCACTGGGCAGAAAAGAACTAGGAATGGGGAAAACAAGCTTGTTGAACTGGTGGTTGGGGAGGCAATTTGTGACTGAAACCATGAACCTATGGTTTACCATTATATGCAATCACAGCTGCAGTGGCAGCAACATGTTTACAAGGTTAGGGCTTCTTATTTGCCATATAACTGAATTACCCAGGTTGAGAGCATTCAGTCAGCAATATGACATCATAGTTCAATATAATCTATTACATTTCACTAGGTGCTGATCTTGTCAGGGGCAAAATTAATTGACAGTGATGGAAATAATTCTTGAATATGCAAATGCTTTTAAATCAGCTACTGAGATTTGTTGAACAGCAGTGTGAAATTACTTTTCAATACTGCTGACGATATCAGCTGCAAAATAATAGTATTTTCAGCTAAAAGTTTGCATGCTTTTATGGCACTTTGGTTGGTTCTTATGAAGGTATTGCCTAGCTTTAGATTTTGGATTTGTTTCTCATTGATCGAGATGGTTATCTTCCTATTTTATGTGCTCTAGAAAAATACCATATCCTTCAAGATATAATCTATCACAACAGAAAGATGTTTTTCTACCACCAATAGAGGAACTTTCCATGAGGGCTATATTCCCTCCAACCGCGTGCAGAAATGCATGTCTAGCCCAAAAGCTGGTCCTCCATGATTCCAGAGAAAGCCATGTCAATTCCTCTAGTCCATGCCCTTCCCCAGAACTCCAACTGAGCGTTCGATTGTTTCCTACCTTTTGCAGAGCTTTTTTCCCCACAGTCTGAGGGAAAAAATGCCTCTACCTAAAGCTTACTACAGATTTAAGCAAAAGCTTGCTGGTAATTCTGTTTTTTTTTAGTCCTGCCTCTTTTAACTTGGGGTTTTCCGCAGCCACCAACAGTTTCAGTGAATTGAAATTTGGCCCTCCTCCTGAGAAAGGTTCTGCACCTCTGTACTCAGAATTTGGCTTCAGTTGATTAACTTCTTTACTTAGTGAAAATGAAATCGTTCTCCAGCTTTGCTAATGGAAAGTTTGCTGTTTCTCTGAACTGTTCTTTTTTTGTTGACTCTGAAATCTCTTGTAGACAAGGGACATACCTGAGCAGCAGCCAACCTTCATGTTTTCAGAAATGAAGATCAGCCATTGCTTCTCTTGTTAAGAGAATGCATTGCTAGGTGTTATCTGATTGCAGTACCTTCCCGTGATTTATTCAGTCTACAAATCTTCATTTTGAGACCAGGTCCAAACTATTGATCTCATGGCTGTAGCACATGGACAAATGTTTGGGCTTTCCCATTTCTATATCCACCTTCTGAATTTTGGGCCACCTAGTTTCATCAGAATTTTGGAAAAGCTGAGAACTCGCATTCTTGTGGTATTTTGGTTAGACCTAATAAATGTAACATTTATTTATTTATTTGGAGTTTTTGTATGCCGTCCCATTCGCGTGAGCCTCGGGACGGCTTCCATACAATAAATAAACAAAGCATATAAATAATGCACATAAAATCCAGATTCACCCTGACTGTAAAATTAAAACCAATAAATAATATTAAAAGTTGTTAAAATGTTGTTTAAATAAAAAGGTCTTGGCATGGCGCTGAAAAACAAATAACGACGGTGCCAGTCGGACCTCTCTGGGGAGTGCATTCCATAGGTTGGGCGCCACCGCAGAGAAAGCCCTCCTCCGGGTACTTAGTCTCCTAATGTCTTTCACAGAGGGTTCCCGGAGGAGGGCATCTGCTGCCGATCTCAGGGGGCGGGAGGGCAAATATGGACACAGGCGTTCCTTTAGATATCCAGGTCCCAAGCTGTTAAGGGCTTTGTAGGTGATAACCAGCACCTAGAATTGAGCCTGGACTTCGATGGGCAGCCAGTGAAGCTGGTAGAGGACTGGGGTTATGTGAGAATAACACCCAGTCCCTGTCAGCAACCTGGCTGCTCTATTTTGCACCAATTGAAGTATCCAGACTGTCTTCAAGGGCAGCCCCATGTAGAGCGTGTTACAGAAGTCCAATCGGGAAGTAACCAATGCATGTGTCACTGTTGCTAGGCAATCGGCCTCCAGGTAGGGATGCAGCTGATGGATTAGCCGAAGCTGAAGGAAAGCGCTCCTCGCCACTGCAGTCACTTGAGCTTCCAAAGACAGCTCTGGATCGAGGAGCAATCCCAAGCTGCGGACCCTGTCCTTTAGAGGGAGTGCAACTCCATTCAGGACAAGGTCCAAGTCACCTACCCAGGAGCCTGAACCACCCATCAAGCTCCGTCTTGCCTGGATTGAGCTTCAGTTTATTGGCCCTCATCCAGCCCATTACCTCAGCCAGGCGCCAGTGCAGTACAGCCACTGCCTCACCTGGATTGGTGGAAAACGAGAGGTAGAGCTGGGTATCATCAGCGTACTGATGATTCCGCAGCCCACACCTCCTGATGACCTCTCCCAGCGGTTTCATGTAGACGTTAAACAGCAAAGGGGACAAAATGGAGCCCTGCGGTACTCCATGGCATAGCTGCCATGGCGCAGAGCCATAGTTCCCCAGCACCACCTTCTGGAATCGGCCGTTGAGGTAGGAGCAGAACAGTGAGCAAAGAGCAAAGAGCAAAACAGTGCCTCCTACTCCCAATATCCAACTCTGAATATTAAAATTATTGCACACTTGCCCACAAAAGCAGATCAGCTATGAGATTTGTTATTATATTGAGAATACTTATCTGTTACTGCTAATCTGCATTTCTGCTTAGGAAAGGAAAATCACAAACATTATTTTGTACATATTTCTGTGTGATCGTACATATTCTATCCAGCAATGATATAGTTGATTATATTACCACTTATCCTAGCGTGAAGTAGGAGCTGAGATACAGGTTTCTATCAGTTCAATTTAACATCTGATTACCTTATCTGATTACCTGTATATAAACAAATCAGAGGTTAAGGCTTTGGAGATTGTGTCTAAGCCTGAGCAGACTTGACTGACTTCTTATGGTTCCTGAAGCAAGTTAGCACTCCAACACTGGAGTATCGGAAAAGATATGACTGCATCCTGAATTCCTATTTAGAGCCTCTTAAACTTCCTGCAAATTGTTCTCATTATTTTCTGCATGAACTTTCATGTTTTTCCTTCTGATATATCACATGTCAGAATTCTAACATGCAGACAATACCCATCTAATAAGTTACATCTTATGCTTAAAAAGAGATTATATTTATAGCTAACTTTCTAATATACTTCTAGAACTATTTCGGATTGTTCTAACTAAAGCTGTTTTGAATGTATTTAAGGCTCCTTAGCCGATCTTGAATCTGTTCATACATTCCTTTACCTGGAGTTATGCTTTTTGACCTCTTGAGTATATATAGGTAACTTTGCTTCCCTCCTTGTTCAGAAGTTTTTCTGTCATCTTCTGTAACGATGTTCATGTAACAAATATACTCATCTAAACTCCTAGCACACATTTCCTATGATATGGATGTTTGACCTGTTGCAAAATCTCTACAGTGATGTAAAACCACTTTCTTGACAAAACTTAGAGGACTGGCTCTTACAAACTCCCTTAATGAGATATAAGGACATCATATGAAAGGCTGTCCCATTACTGCAACCAATGTATCTGCTTTATTTATATTATTTAGTTGTCAAAAATGTAAGTACATAGTAAATGGAATGAGAGAACACAGCCAAAAGAGCTGTATCTATAAATGTATCTACAGCTATACGAGCAAGAGTAAATTAGCTGATGCTCATCTATCTGGATCCACTATCTCATTTTCTGTTGTTTGCTAGGACTTCGTACTATTTTGTGATTTGTTTGCATGTGGATTAAACAAATACTTGTAGTATTGTTACAATGATATTTGAAAAGTTTTTTTTTAAATTCTACCAACTGAGCTGGTAACATTTTCCCTTTTCATATTTCAGGTTGTTTTTGAAGTGATCACGTCAGGTCACCAAGGATACATGGCTATTGATGATGTGAAGGTTTTAGGACATCCATGTAGTAAGTGACTAAGCATTACATTTTTAAATTATTTGGGACACAGATGGAATATATGTGGCATAACTATTCTTTGAAACTCCTGAAGTACATGAGAGAGGGCCTGTTGAGTTGTTTAGAAAACTGGAAATGTTGCAGTGAAGATTCAATTGCAAGTTATCTAAAATTGTTGGGGGGCGGGGAGACCTTGCTAGGGCTATTCAACTGAGTTAAAATGTTTATGAAGCAGTATTATTTGACCAATTGTATCAGTTGATCCTCTAATTAAAAGCTGCTCTCAGGGGTCACAGCAGAAGTCTTAACTGGCTCTGCTTCCATATGAGATCTGCTTTTCAAGGGATGCCAAGTTTTTCATGCCAGCTCTCATATGTACTGCCTCTGCGCTGTGAGCAAGCGCAAGCTAGCACTGCATCCTATTACTGGCAGGAAGGGAAAAATACAATGCGATTTCATCATGAAAAGGTTGTTTCAAATAATAACTGCCCAATACTTATGCCAGTTAAGCATAGAACAGTTATTTTTTTAGCATCTGAAAACTCCCATGGTGAGTTTCTTTTTTCTTTTACTCATTAAAACCAGTATTCCCTCCCATTCTACACAACCAAGTATATCTTTTCAGGCTCCAGTCACTAAATAGTAGTGAAAAGTTCTGCTACAGTTCATCATTTGTGAATTGTGTGGTGGACTTGTCAACGTCTTTTGACACTTCCGTCCAGTACCCTAGAATTTCTGGTAAATGTCAGTATGTCAAGCCATATATAAAGAAACTTAATTATGAAGTTGCAATTTACAATGGTTTACAGTTGGCTAGCAGATTAAATTTTGAAACAATGTTTTATGGTAGGTTTTCATATCATGAATCATGTTAATTGTAGTATGGTATAATATCCGAATTAACTAACTATAGATGCTTTATCTCTAGAGTGCAAATAGATGACTGTAAAAATAAACAAGGTGCTATAAACTATACCTTACCAGTCTATTTAGAAGCTGAAATCATTGTGTTCAAAGCAGAGCGGTGGGTATTAACAATAGCCGCTCAATGCAGTGGACTCAAAATTTTGTACTGCATTTGTGGTATAGACTATTTCATCCAGTTTCTCCAGAGAGAGAAGAAACTCCCAACAGATTCTCAGGGTCAGCAGTGGCAGTAGCATTGTCGTTTTCTTTTTTTCCTAAGCGTGGTTTGTTTGTTGTTTACTTTTGGGTTGCTTCTTCTGCTACTTCAAGTAACAGGAGTGGCATTTGTGTTGACAACCTGGCTACCGTTTTGCATCCTGAATTCATGAAGAGGAGAATAACCTCTTGCATCCATGGAGATTCTCCATACAATTAAGAACCTTAAAAAATCTTATGTCCTGGATCATTATACAGGGGTCACTTCATTTCACACAGTTGTTCTCCACAATGCAGAACAGAAGAGACACACAAGAATGGAGTGGGACTAGAGTGCTCCTTTCCTCACATGTTTGGTCTTCAAGGACTGAGAAAGATGATTTCAAATGGTGTCAGCAGAGCCAGTGAAGACCAAGCAGCATCTCACTGCATCTTGATCTTTGCTTATATAATTGAAAGTAGGGGATTGCCACCTGAAATCAGGCTTACCTATTCCATTCCAGCTCCAGTCATATAGGGAATCACTCATTCCACACACGACGGCTTTTTGAAATGAAAAACAAACACACACACTTCTTACTAACACCGATGGGAACTTTTTTGTGGTGTTTGGGCGGAAAAGAGTATTTTGAAACTTAGAGTCCCAACTGTATCTTAGGCAGATTACTTTTAATGTAACCTCACCATTTTGCTTTCTAGGGAATGGGATTTTATATTTTGAGACTGACCGTACCCACCATGGTGTCCATTATGGAAAACATGCACAACATGATAAAGCAAACAGCTTTCATGGTTTAAGTATGTGAAAGTCATGTAGCAGATGACTTGAGACCTTAGGTAGTCAAAATAAGGAACAAGGTGTGCAAAAAGGGAAGGAAGATAATAGAGACCAACTGACCAAACAAGGTCAAGATCAGGGGGAGTTTCTGGTGTGAACTGGTCTTCTCTGCTCCAGAGAGGCTAGAATGTGCTTTTCTGTATTATCTCACCTGTATTGCATGGAAGATATAAGCTGTATTAACTTCATTTCAGACAAAGAATTGTTTGGCTTTGTCAGACCCTCTTTACTACGTGTATAGTCTTCATGAATAAGCTTACCTACATCTATACTGGCATGTTTCCAGTTTCATGGTTTTGCTTGTAGGAACTGCTTCCATGTTCACTTCTGATCTGCATCAAGCACATGCAGAAGATTCCAAATGTGCCTACCAGTTACACAGAAGCATAATTTGTAGAATGGCCCTGGCAGCACAATGCTATGCATATCTAGTAGGAAGTATATCCTGCTGTGTTCAGCAGGGCTTTAGGGTGCTTTCAGATGAGGCTCTTATCAGAAATCACTCTGCCTTGTTTTGTGAGGATCGGGGGTGGGTGTGGGGGGGAGCTAATGTCTTCTAGGGAACTTCCCATATTTTTCTGCTTCCTGTTGTTCATCCTTTCTCTTGCCCTAAAATATCTGAGGAGGAAAGGACAGAATAGCTGTACTGTGCTTTGACCGGGAGTGGTGGCAGCCTTCTGTGGGAAAAACCCTTAGTAAGACCGGCATCCACTCTACATTTCTGTTGTTTATGGAAAACAGGTGATGATGTTGGGAACATTTCTTTAAGTTTCCCAGATCATTCATTTTGCAGTCAATCCTGCCAGCCCTGCTCTGGATGCTCTGGATTTTTGCTTGCCTGCTTATTTATTTACTTAAAGCTTTTATAGACCATCCCTCTACTAGCATCTTGTGATGGTTTACAACAAACAAGTAAAATAGAAATTAAAATGGCACAGCATACAGTAATACAATAAGATAAAACACTTTAAACCCAGTTAAACATCAAAATAACCAGAAAACAAAAGGTTTTCTCCTGGAGCCCAAAAGAAGCGTTGTTGCCAGGCATACCTCTCTGGGGAGCGTATTCCATAATCAGGGCACCATTGCAGAGAAGGCCTTCTTCTGGGTAACCATCCTCCAAATCTCTTTCAAGGAGGAAGAAGGACCTCCTCAGACCTCAAGGGGTGGGATGGTGTAAAGGGAAGGAGGCTCTCCTTCAGGTATCTGGGACCCGGTCCATTTAAGGCTTTATAGGTCATCACCAGCACCTTAAATTGGGCCTGGGCTTTAATTGGCAGCCAGTGTAAGCAGTAAAGGACCAGCATTACATGCAAATACAATTGCAGTCTCCATGGCAGTCTCTACCGCACCTCATCCCCAGCATTTTATCTAGGCAGCCATTTTTGCCCACCAAGCTAAAGCCCAGAAAGGGAAAGAGTCCAGACTGCTGATAAGAAGCACTGTATGTAGATGGCCCCAGCTTCCTCCTTTCCCCCCTCTCCAAGGTGCACCGCTGCTCTCAGAGTGGCAGGTGGCATGGTTTTTCCTGCACACGTTGTGGGGAGTCCAGGGACTTGTCCAGCAAAATCAAGCGCAGGATATCAGGACTGGGTTCCCACTAGCATCCTCTGGCGCACCAGACCTTAAGCATGCAATCAGATGTATGTTTAGGCAGAAAAAACCATAAAAAAGTCCCTGCATGTTTCAGCCAGCAATGCTAGGAGTTATATGACTTTCTTCTGTCTAGGCATGAATAGGATTGTACCCTAATATGTCCGGGGTCATATCTTAAGCATTCTTGTAAGCCAAGTGAAAATGGCTAGCAGAATGCAGTAGCTGATAAATATGTTTGAATGTTTATTGATTTCTCCTGTTTATAAGACCATGCATCTCTTGCATTTAAAAACATCTGTAGTATATCATGCAATTGGATGAAGACACATTTACTATATATAAAGTAGCTAGTTTTAAAAAAATAGTTGTCTTGGCAACTTGCTACAATAACTAGTGTAAATATCTCTCATGGTTCTGTTCAAAACATAAAAATGATTTCAGCATAACCTTTATAAATACATAAGAAGGTTAGTAAGCTAAGATAATTTGATCAGTAGGAACAATAAGCTAGCACCTTTCTCTTTCATTATGTTCTCGATTCTTGTAACAAAGGAACAAAATAATGCAAAACAGCCTTACAAGGTTCCATTAGAGTCAAATAATTTAAAACACATGGGCAGTGGTGGGGGTTGGCCTTCAGTATAATGTGGCTGTACAAAATGTTAGAATCAGCAGTTGTTTTAAAAACAGCTCAGATATGACATTTAGGAGTATGGTACTAATCACATCATTTTTCTCTGCTCTTCCCATTTTATTCCCAACAGCCAGTACACCCCATTTTTTGCGTGTCCAGAGCGTAGAAGTGAACGCCGGCCAGTTTGCTACTTTCCACTGCACTGCCAGTGGCAGAACTGTTCAAGGCAATAGGCTTTGGCTGCAGGTAACTTTTTCCATTTCTTTTCTACAGTGCAATGGTACTTTTGAAAATATGGTATGGTTATATTGAAACCAGGATAAATGCACATGGGCAAAGTAGGTCCAGTCCCTCCATGAGGCAGAGTGAATTCCTGAATTCTCCACTTCAGGTGGCAGATATGAAAACAAAAGTGCACAGTTTTCAGCATTAGAGCTTCTTTTGTGTCTCCATCCCGATGTCCTATGATTGTCTTTCTCACTGGGTGACTGTATCTCTCTCTGTTTCTCTTCATGTCATTCTGTACAACTCCAAATATAGAGGTGTAGGAGAGTAAATGATTTTCAGGTTTGCTTCACTTCTCTCCAAATCACTTTGAAGCTTGTTTCAGCTTGCTCTTGTTTTCATTTTTATCCTGTCTTAAGCTTGTTTAAGAGGGGAAAAGGCAGATTTCAAATGGAAAAGGTGTTAATTCCTCTATGTATTTTTTTAAATGCGTATTTTCCCTCTATTGACTAAAGCATGAAAATGTGTACTTAAAATATGTGTACTTAAAATATAAGAAGCACACATTTTTAGAACATGTTAGCAAATGTGGTTATTTACCAGCATCTCTTACCCAAAAGCTCATGTTTTGGATTGTGAAATGAGATGTGCATTTCTCATACATTCCCATCCATATGGAGTTAGGATGTATGAAATTCCACTGAAGGTCAGTGGTTTTCCACCTTAGCTGTAAAGTTCTCTTATCTTTCATATATGAAACTCATTCCCCCAGTGAAAGTATTAGAATACATTTCTGTCATCATGGATATCATAATCTTGGTTAGACTGCATTTAGAAACAAAAAGTAATTCAAATTGGAAAAATACTCCAAATCCATGTGCTATGGTTGCGCAAAATGCAATAAGGCAGATACTTTGATCACCCAATCATTCCTTTGCAAGAAAGGAAGAAGCAGCTCTGTATGGTAAAGCATCTTTGTTAATTACTGCGTTCCTGACCCTCGTCAGATGAACTCAAATCATGAGTTCATTGTTATAGCATATCAGGTAATGTGAAGGTAAACTGTTAATAAGGGAACCAATTTCACCTTGGGAAGAAAGGAAATCATGACTGTTATACCTTCTAATACAAAACCTATTCCTCCCTTCTTATTATTACCACTATTTAGTTAAAAATCACTAGCATAATTTTACTTGTTACACTTGTTATGAATTAATGTTCTCATTAACTTAAGTTTCAATGTAAGCATAACACAAATAAATCCAATGATACTGGAGGAACAGATGTATCCCATCTGCTTAGATTTTCTTTCTTGCATCTATTATGCAGGTTATTGCCATTTGGGGATTAAGTCTGAATGAGAAAACTAAATAAATATGATTCTAATGTATATGAAAATCTTAGACCTGCTATAGTCTCTAACACAATTCTTATAAATAGGTACACGTAATCCCATAGGTAAAATCACCATTACTCTTAAAATATAATTCTTATCACCATACTGGTCAGCTAACCAAGTACAATTTTCTGACATTTTTCATTAATTGGCTGCTTCAGGGATAGTTCTATAATAAGGGATTGTATGATGTTTCAGTTGTACTGCCCTAAATGAGATACATCCATAACTTTTTGCCTTTTGTAATTGAATTTTCAATGCCAATTTATATGGTATCTGTCCACCCACAGTGCTTAATATATGCTGGAGTTTAAGATCAGAATATTTCCCTGAGTTAGGTGACATACTAATAGAGCAAATGACCTCAGGCATATATATAATTCTCACTGCTGAATTACTGCAGCTTGTTCAATTCAAAAATTGGAACTAGGGATGGACAAATCTGTTGATCTTTGTTTTCTTAAGATTTTTAAATATATTAAGGTTAGCTTATTCTGCATGATATTGTGATGTTAAAAATTGTGTCTGTGTACATTTTTGTAATGTACATGTTAAGAAATGGTCTTTCTGAACCTTCTTAAATGCACACTTTTTCCTAAGTACTATTGCTAAAATGCTGTTTTGTGCACATTTCTCAATGTATTTTCATAGTATGTACATAATTTGTGCATTTCTCTGAAGACAAGCTGCATCAGAAATGCAGATTTCAGGACAGAACTGTTTCAGTTGCTAAAAATACCAGGAGAAGTGAGTGGATAAATGTAGAGGGCTTTTCACTTAAAGGTGGCTTGACATAACATAAAATAAGTAAAACTACTTTAAAAAAAAACAACTCAGTGGGGCAGATAACTTTCCAAAATTTTTGACCTTATTACATATGGTAAATAGTGGCTTCCGCCTCTTTTCATTTCCAACACTTTCTATTATACTTGTTGTCCACCTTTAGGGGTAATATACCAAAGAAAAGAACATGTTGTACCAATTCTCCCTTACTGCTTGGCTAGCTGTAAATGCTATTTCTTTTGTCCTTAACGTTTCCCATTGATGGAAGAATATTTTTTCTCCAAAATTCTGCATCCAATTTATCATAAGTGTTTTAAGTTGTTCCTTTTCTATATCATATTGCAATAATTACTTGTAAATCTGTCCTGGTAAATGATTTTTTTAAGTGAAATCAACTTTCAAATTTTGTCAGAATTCTTTTGGTGACTTTTCCTTGTTGAATTTCCCTTCTTGAGACCAGTTGAGATGGAACAGATTTGTGATCCATTCCTAACAGATAAACGTACCATTTTGGCAAACCAGCATGACCCTTTCTTTTCTTGAAGAATGAGGTAGCAATTCTTTCCCTCCAGTACTTGCCTCAGGTAGTTTCTAGTCTAGTCTAGCCTTTCATGGACTAATCTATCAGAATGTAAGCAAGCATCCAACTTACTTCGGAAAAGAGAGACATTCAGAATATCTCTTTGTAACTTCTTAAACAGATTCTTGTACAATGCAAGTTTTTCACTCAGTCAGATAATGGAGGGAAGTTTATTGATAGTATACACACTTGTAGTGATTTGTTGTTTTTTTACTGTAACATTTAAAGTAAGTGCATCACATTTTTTAACCTCTGCTAAGAGGAGTTAATTGAATTTATCATTCTATGGTTTGTCCGTCTTGTTTTCTTTCTTGTTTCCATCTTAACACCCTGGCCAACTTTTTCTTCTTGTTGAAACTACAACCTGGTTTAATTCACTATTCTTTATTTAGCACATATGACCATGAGAGGCTAAAAGGACCCACTTTTAGAGAAAAAAAGAACACAATCAGTTAGGGTAGAATGTGGCTTACAGTGAGCACCATTACTGTGCCAGTCATATTCTTGTTCATAAATTCACACAGGCAAATAAAAGATAGGAGAAATACAAAAGCGTTTGTTACTGTAACGTCTGACTGGTGTAAAGCAGATTAATGATTAAAGAAATGTGTGTTCTCCATAGCTGGTGAAAGTAACTAAGATAGAAACAACTTAATAGTTTTGCAGTTTCTTGGACTTCTTATATATAATCATACTCGGTATTGCTGTAGCAATTTTTCTAATGCATATATGTTTCACTTACAGTAGTATGGTACATGTTCCCTGTATGTTTCAGCCTAAGTGACATTAAATGTTTGGAACTCAATTCAGATTAGTGCATAAATAAGATCTAAGTTCCAGTAGTAGCTTTGTCCACCACCATGCAAACAATTGTGGACATTATAGGTCAGGCTTGCTAGCCCAAAGTTTCAAACATGGAGGTGTTAACAAAAAAGAAAGAAGTTTGGTTCCCGGAGTGGAACTGTTCACATATTAAAGTCTATTGCTTAACGATCAGGAAAAACAGGCTGTATAATAGCACTGTCCTAGAGGTGATTTGGTGGGATGGTGATAATTATTACGTTACATTTCTTTCCTGCTTTTTTCCTCTTCCAAAGAACCCAAGGTGGTTTACAAGAGCCTCTTCTCCATTTTGTCTCCACAACAACTACACTGTGAAGTAGATTAGACTGACAGTCTGTGACTCATCCAAAGTAACCCAGTGGGCTTCATGGTTGAGTGGGGATTAGAACCCAGATCTCCTGAGCCCCAGTCCAACACTCTTGAGCACTATACCACTAAGATTTAGCAAGAACATTGACATATTTCACAACTAAGTAATGCATCAACTGAAAGACCATTGCACTAATTTCCAGTGCAAGCAAAGTAATACTCAAGGTGTTTCAATAAAGAACTTGACCCTATGTGGAGCAAGAATGCCTGATGTTCAAGTTGGGTTCCAGAAAGGAAGATGCGCTAGAGATGGTATCACAAATATACATTGGTTACTGAACCCTGTCAAAGAATTTCAGAAGCAGATCAATCTATGCGTTATAGTAAAGCCTTTGACTGTGTGGATTATGAGAAATGGGGTAGTGTTGAAAGGAAATGTTGTACTTCAGCACTTGATTATCCTAATGCATAACCCATATTGTGGACAAGAATATGGAGAAACAGAAGGCAAAGGCATCAGATAAGGGTGTATTTTATCTCCCTATCTGTTCAATCTGTATGCAGAACATCATAAGGACAGCTGGATTAGGATCAGAGAAAGGAGTGGAAATGGTGGAAGATGCATCAATAATATGTTTCAGTATTCAGATGATAGCATATTACCAGCAGAGAACAGTGACAAATTGAAATGACTCATGATGAACGTGTACATTAAAATTATGACTACAGAAGATTAGTAAAACTTTAATGTCAGCAGTGAAGAAATTGAAATGATGAAAGGTTTTCCATACCTTTGCTCAGTGATCAATTTAAATGGAGACTGCAGCCAAAAAATTAGAAGACTGAGACTTGGAAGAGCCACAATGAATTAAAAGAAATCAAGTGTAAGGACATTTCCCTGGAGACCAAGGCCAAGACCATCCACACTGTTGTATTCCTGATCACTGTGTATGGGTCTGAAAGCTGGACAGTGAAGAAAGTTGACAGGAATTAAATTGAAACTTTTGCAACTTAGTGCTTTGTGAATACCCTGGACTGGAAAAAACATTAACAGGTGGGCCCATGATCAACTCATATCAGCACTTTCTTTTGAAGCAAAATGGTGAAACT